GTGGGCTGGATTCATAACTGGAGACTACTGAACCATTCTCACTAGTCAGTCTAAGAATTCATCTGTACATCAAACCAATCATGAAGTATACATTCAAAGCTCCAGGCTCACTTGCAGCAAATTCTACAAACACATACGTTTTCTTCATGTTTCTTTCAGTATATTCTGAATACTAGGGTTTGCACCATCATATTGACATTCATAACATGGAATCAAAATAAAACCAGAGACAAGTTCTTCCTAAGGAAAAGCCTACCAATTACATGGTTAAAAGAGAGAGGTAGAGTGAACTTGTATCTGAAGATAAGCCTCATCTTCAGTACCAACTCCTTCACTGGAAAAAGTGAGAAGCTTGTTAAAGGTTTCACCTTTACCATTTATGACATCTGCTGTAAAGAAGCCTTCCCTGTACTTTTTTTTTTAGATCAATAGTAGTTAGGTGTGCCAGTCATGTTCCTGGCTCATTAGTGTCTCTCTGGCATCCCTTAGATTACTTGAGAGGATGACACATTTCTCTTCAAATCACAGCTGCATAAAGCTTTAGTACATAACAAGATAAATCAACGTGAACTATAAGGGTTTCTTTGTTTTAATTGAAAAATTGTCTAGAAACTATATTAGACACTCGCTTGATCCCACATGTAGAAATATCTGTTTGTAGGTGTAACATTTGCCCATCAGCCTTTTATGGCCACCATTTGCGATAGAGCCACTTACCTTGTATCACACAGAAGACTCTGCAATTGGTCTTTTTTGTTCAGAACAGCTGTGGCACTCCCAGGAGGGTGATTTAGAATGTAGAATGGGAATGTCTTAAAAAAAAACCCTCAGATATCCCTACAGGACTCTAAAATGATACCATTTGTGCCTTCTATTTCTTAGCCCCTGCAATCTCAGCCTGTTAGCAGCCTAAGCTCTTACTCTCCCCTAGCTTTTCCCCACTGGAATAATTATCCCTCTGAATGGCCTTTCAGCACTGATGGTTCTCACTCAGATAACAGGTTTAGGGAAGTAATGTAAGTGGCTTTACATTTATTTTCTGCATCCTGGTTAAAAATAAAATATATTTCAGATGGCTGATTATTTTGTCATTGGCTTGCTTTATCTCAGGAGAATGACAGTATTGCTCTTCAGAATACAGAATGCAGATGCACATATACTTAGTGGTGAATCTTAGCATACGTACTCCATAAACTGCACTGGATTCCTTCCAATTCATTTCAGGGTACAATTCAAGCTGATGATCTAAATCTGTAATAGCCTGTATATCACAAATCTTGACTAAGATACCACATCTCTCAGGTCTTGTCACACAACAAAGTTGTTAGAAACCAATTTACAGTAAAGATAGATAGATAGATAGATAGATAAAATGAATTAGTATTGATTTTATATTAACAGATTTACTAGTAGAAGTAATTATGTTAATCATCATATTTATTTATTTGTATGGTGGCTAAGCACGCCAATCCTTGTCATTCTGTACAAACATGGAACAAAAGACAGTTCTACCATAAGGAGTTAATAATTCAAG